ATTACTCTGTAGTTATGGATATGATGAAGAATTTTATTATGATTTGACTATGATCAAAATAAACTGATCTTTATCTCTCAGAACCTGACAAGTTTACAAAAAACAAGAGAACGTGTGCGTCTTGTTATGTTACTTTCTTCTTGTTTTTTCGTTTGGAAACGTGGTGAGGGATATATTCATTTCACATTTGTTGATGGCGTAAACTAAACGGATGTATGTATATGTCACCACATGAGACAAACTTTGGTAAATGGAGGTGTGAAAATCTAGACCATAAAGTCATAAACGTTACATTAAACATTGACTTTACTCCTAGAGTACTCCTAGCTAGCGTCTATGAGCGAGCCTACTACAGCAGAGCAGTTATATATATATGTCGAGTCTTATAAGGCGGACAGCTATTTTACTTACTATATTGAGAGAGTTGAGTCAGTACCAGCAGGTGAGCATATCTTCATATTATCTTTGACCCCCGGTTACTTTCAGCTATTATATTATCAGTTCAATTTCAGCTTTCAATATATTCCCTTACATACTCGGTACATTATTTCGTACTGACGTCCCTTTTCTGAGGGCGCTGCATTTCATGCGTGCGGGTTCAGACAAACAGACGGGTAGACCTCCTCATTAGGTGTTGCCCGAGTTCAGCTTGATCGGTAAGCTCCATGCCTTTCGGAGTTGCCGAGTCTAGAGCTTTATGTACATCTCGTGTATATATGTATATATGTTATAAGTAGGTCGGGACCCTGTTTCGATCACAGTATATCCATCAGTAGAGGCTTTTAGACATATCCTGTCAGTTAGTGCATCATGTTGGGCTCGTAGGCCTTGTATGTATATTTGGTTGGTTTGTCAGCTGTAGTAATTATGACGGTCTTGTCAACCCAGCTTTATATTGATATATCTAGTCAACATTCGCAGTTGTCTTGCAATGTGGCCCATCGCCAAAGAATGACATCATATGTTCTGAGTCCCTTGGTCACAAATTGGTACGCAAGGATAGGTGAGGCACCGGGTGCCGGTCTTGCCCCCAGGTTCGGAGCGTGACAAATTAATCTCATAACGTTCTAAATTTTATTTAATATATTACAAAGAGAAGTGACATATTGTTATATTTGAAACTACTTCAGTTTTAAACATTTTATTTAATTTTATGTTGTTAACGACATGCTCTTATAATCATAGACGGCAAAATATAATGTCACGACATGCATATTTAAGATCACAAAATCTATGAGCACTTTTATATATATGTACCAAAACTAAGAAATTCTGTGCACCGTCAATAATTGTCATATATAAAATGAAAAAGGAGGACATACTCAATTAATCATATTGAAAATGAATTTTTTGGCCAACAGATCGAGGACGAGTAGAACCATAGGTCAAATAAATAATATTACACCACAGAGATTTCTAGAAGGATAATATAATAATATTGCTAGATACAATAACGAAAATGTTTATACATATTGTTGGCACATGTTTCTGCATACAGTTAGAGTACAGTATAATGTATGTTTTTCCATGTTCACCACTATTTTCAGTCAGTCTCCAATTTTTATTTTTATGTTTTCGCCTCTTCCAAGTAGGAATTAAATGATTATATATACCTGTTTGTTCGTTATAGAAGGAATATAATTCAGAAATGTACACTTGCCCATATATTATGTTTACCAAGCATATATTATATATATTATTTGTATCACCAAGAAATCAGAAGGAAAAAAGAAATGGAAATGGGAGTTGAATGTATTGATCAATAAATTAAAGGTGGAGGTGGAGCCCCTAACTGAAACCTGTATACATTCAATTTCATATGAATTTTTAACTTTAGCTCATGATCTACAGCTACCTCTTCTACAGTATTCTTATTATTTCATCTATCCAGCTGGAAAATTAAATGTTCCTTTTTCTCTTTGCTGGTTAATAAAAGGAAAACTTTTATTTTTGCAGTAAATGAATCCAACACCTTTATATTGTCATTTATATATCAGTACCCTAACAGCTGTTTGGATGGTTGTTCCTGTTATCGCAAAATAATGTTTGTTTTGATTGTTTCATTAAAATTGGTTGTATTGTATTGTTAAATTCATTGTTCCAGAACAATGAAAAGTCCCCTTTTTTGAAACAATCGATTTGGTGCGGTGGGATTGTTTCCTATTTTTCTTTCCAATTATGCCCTAACTTATTACTCCATAATTCTATTTTACCCTTTATCTTTTTTCTATTTTAGCTCCAAATCTTCCAACTTATAACCTACTTTGTTTTTTTCCAGACCAATGTTAAAGGTGTTTTGTTGCCTCCTGTTTTATTTTTTTCTCCTAATTTGCTTGTGACTCAATTCTAATTAGTTGTGCTCCTTTGGTTTGCCTTTTTCTGTCCCGCTCCTTTGTTCTGTTTCCTTATTGTGTTTTGCCTTCTTCTGTTTTGTTTTTTAAAATTATTTTTATACATAATTTTGTAAATTTAATATTTAAACAATTGAGGGTATTTTAGTAAACTTATCAGTTACAGTACAGTACGATACAGTCAAACCAAACAACAAAATATTATTTAACAATAACAAACAATACAATCTATCCAAACATTGTATTCATAAAACAATACGGTACAATACGATACGATACAATACAATACATTATAAAACGATAGGGAACAATGATCCAAACAGAGGCTTCAGATAGGTATTTAATGGTTAAGAAATTTACAACTTTCTATCTCATATGCTATATTCGCAGTGTTAATATTCGTCTCGTGAAAAATTTAAAATGTCGTGTTCCTCTTTTAGAATGATAATTACATGGAATTTGGCTTTTAAATTAATTGCTTGATTGTGCAATTAATCAAAACGCTTGTTATTTCTTGATTTGGTACGTATCGTAGGATAGTTTATAGTGTTTATTATTATAAGTATAGGCACCTCCTAATTAGTTTTAACTTCAACTTCATATTTGTATAGTACATGTTTGCTTTTACATATTATATTATGGTGTGTATAAGGGAGGTCAGAGAAATTATATAGGGAAAAGAGTAGGTAACTGATTTCTTGCCTTCACCTAATATTATGTTGCAATAATGAATCGTGTTAGATGGTAGGGGAAATAGGAGTTTGAAAGTAACAACAACAACCTAGTGGAATCCCACAAGTGAGGTCTGGGGAAGGTAGTGTACGTAGACCTTACTCCTACTCTGAAGGAGTAGAGAGGTTGTCTGCGATAGATCCTCGGCTAAAGAAAATGAAAAGAGACAGCGGCTCAGTAATATCAGAGTAAGCAAGATAGAAAGAGAGATAACGTCAGCAACATAAATCAGAAAATAGAGAGAAAGCAATAACAATAAGCAGTAACAATGGTACAGTACTATAGACACAATAGAGTAATATGGATACAACAAGAGCCACTAGCACACTAAGACATTACACTATCGGACTAGTCTCCTACGATCTAACCTGTAGTCCCAAAGAAGTAATATGGACACAATCGAAGCCACTAACCGCCTAAGACAAACATACGCTTTTTTTATAACTGCACGTTATATCGTAAGAAATGTTATAAATGCACCCCAGCTGGACCAAATGTTTGTAACATTTTTTTTTTTAAAAGCTTTGCTTGTCCATTGCCCAACATATATTTGTAACATTTTTTTTACAAGTAATGGTACTAAATTAAGTAATTGCATGGTCGAACTAGCTAGGCCTCCAGTTAGTGGTACTGAAAAAATAGCTTATTAAAGGCATAACTACACCCCTATTAACAAATAATTGAGAATTGTCCAAAGGTCCAACCACTATATAGCTACATAAATTAATATGTTACAGTTGTAACAACGTTGAAATTTGAAATTGGGATAGATCCTAGATGGTCTCTCAAATTGGTCATATTTCGAGGGTCGAGTTGGTGCCCAACCTACGGACTGCAAATAATTGATGGTCCACACTCTCTTCTTATGGTTTAGGTACTATTTCACCTGTTTTTATGGCTATATTTTCTGATTTTATTTGTAGAAACTTTTAAACATGTTTTTCTTTTTGTTTTTTAATTTAAAGGTTTCATCAAATGAAAGAAATTAGTTATCTTGTTTGCGTAAATCATTTTTGTACTCCAAAATAGGGTTGTGCATGGATCGATTCGAATCGGATTTAGCACATTTCGAATCGGATTATTATGCCTCAAAGTTGCAAAGTGCAAACTCATGTTTATATTTTCTTTGTAAAAGAAGCAACACAGTAAGAAAAATTCATGTTTCTGCAATTATGAGAGTACTCTGTGCCAATATAGCTAAGTCCATCAATCGTAAACGTAATAACTTGGAGGAAAATGTAAAAGAAGTACGAACTATCCGAAATTAAAGTTTAGTATTTAAACATGCCCTAATAATTTCAAATTTCGGATCGGATCGTATTAAAATTATAATCCAAATCCGAAATTTTAATAAATACAATCCGAAATCTAAACCAATCCGAAATCTGAAATTGAACGAATCAATTCGGATTTCGGATATCCGATCCAAATGAAACAACCCTACCAAATCACTTCTTTGGTTGACATATAATCGAGCAGTTACACTCCTTTCTAGAAGCGCATAAAAAGTTAAAAATAAGGAAAAATGATACTATATAATCACTCCCAAAATAATAGCCGAAAATATATATATAACAGCAAGGGGGAAATGATAATTCATCAGAAAACGAGAAGAAATATATTGACCATCAATACTTGGTCCTAGTGATAAAAGTCTCACACATTTCCCTTTGCGGATCCACTATATAGTGGAATATTTTTAAAAAGAAAATAAAAGGAATACACAAATAGAAGGGTACAAATTACAAAATAAGCAAGACTTCTAAGAAAATATCACCCTAATTGTTCTTTCTTTAAAATCTTTTTTGTAGACAAGCATATTGTCTGAATTTTGGAAACAAAAGAAGAAAGAAAACTGCTTCAGTCAATGCAATGATCATGTAGCAATGTTAAGATGCAGACAAGTGAAGCTGGAAACAATTCAATAATTTCTCTAATGATTTTGACGAAAATCCCATCTCATTAGAATATAGTTTGATATCTTCTATCACTTATCCATAAATAAAATACAGACATCATATTATGCTTCTCATAAGAAAAAATTCGATGGCAAACAGGAGAACGATAAAAAAAAACAAAGCCAGAAAAGGAGGACCCTCTTAGTTTACCAACAAAACATCTATAAGCTGGGGCAAAAGTGGGCACAAGGTTAATAAGAAAAAGAAAGAAGAGAAAACTAAAACACAACCTATTCAGTGGGGACTTCTTTCATGAAACACAAGCCCCAGTTTACAAAAATCAATGCCTTTAGTTTCTGATTCTTCACACATGCTTTGCCTCTAAAGGTGAAAGCCATCAGGCAGAATCGCGCACCATATAGCATCCGGGTGAGCATAAAAACTTTGCTGTCGCAGAATAAGAAAGGCTCTATAAACAATAACTTACTGCATTTTGTCATGTAACGAGGAGCTAGAGTATTCTGTTCCATTTTCTGAAGTTACTTCAGATGTAGCACTTGTTGACACATCACCATTATCATTCGTGCTAGAGCTACCGCGGAAGCTCTTTGATGCAACGGCAGGGTTACGTTGAGTTTCACCACTTGCCACTCCTTGTCCTTCCTCAGCTAGTTTTCTAAGAAGATTCATGACTGTAGGAAGCAACTTTGTGGACAAAGAGAGAACTCCAGGAAGCTGCCAAAAAAGCATAAAGAAGCTCACATCGCCAAAAAAACAATTATCTCAAAAGTTTCACCCTAGACAAATCAGATATGATAATAATGAAAAAAAATCCTGGTAGGGAGCGCTTCCCCCTTTAATGAGCCTTACGTGGACGCGAATCTGCGATTAATCAGGGCTCCAATACAGGTACCCGACACCAGGTGGTAAACAAAAAAAAAAAATACCGAAAGACCGTGAACCTAAAGGTATACTTCTTGCATCGCTTGGGAACTAAAGAAATGAAGAGAAAGAAAGGAAACGTTATAACATTTTCCGTTCTGTTGTTGTGTTTGTTTGGATGATGGAAAAGAAAATGAAAGAGAATATTTCCCTTCCGGCTCACAAATTTACTTTTTACTAGAAGGAAAAGCCACATGTTTCGTCTTTCTTTCTTGTTTTCCACCCAAACCAAGCAAAATAAAGAAAAGAAATTTTCTCTTCCTTTCCCTAGTTGTTGCCTAACGTAGGGTAAAACATCTCCAGGAAAATAATGAACTTATGAACTGAAGCACCACAGAAAGATCAGAACTTCATTAATTCTCTTCTTGTAACTTTGTCAGATAGGATTATTAGAATGTCACTTGCAACTGAAACTCATCACTGTTGTCCTTAAAGAGTGTAGAAAAATTATTCAAATAATCTTCTAAGAAGCGACAAACAAGAGCTTGTAACAGTTATCTGGTTGAATTGCCTTTTTCTAAATAAGGATATTTAGTTGAATTGCTTCAAGTACACAGACATTAGAACTCTAGGAAAATCAAATTCAACACTTACAACTCCATTGCGGAATTCGCCTGAGATGTCCAACTGCACCCAAAGGGCTTTAAATAGCAAATACGCGACGAATATAACCCCCAAATATAATGGATTTCTGGAAAAAAGTAAAACCCAACATGAGCTATGAGTTAAACCATGTTATGCTGTAAAAACGTGGGGGGGGGGGGGGGGGGGGGTAGCAATCGATGAACTACAAGTCAGAAAGGATACCTTAAAAGTGTCATGAATTCATTGAATCCCAAAATCACCATAGCAGCAATTGCCCATGGAGGTGGTAACCAATTATTATTTCTCTTGCTAGCCTCCTGAAAGTGAATAAAAGAAAATCAGAACCATTCAAGAACAAATGGCGAAGATTATCAATGCCAGGACCAGGATATCACAAAAAGGTAGTTAGGTACTCTCCAACTTTTTTTTGAGATGGTAGGTACTCTCCAACTTTTCAGCACTCAGAAATTAGAATTCACACACATAGCATGAAAAGACAATAAACCTCCACGTATTACATCCCACTGTTTGATGCAAAAATCAAATCTCAGATGTTCAATGGACAAGATTTCACTCCAAATGTTCTAATCCTATTATGAACTCAAAATACCCAGCATCACTCTGTATCTTCTATTATTAATGAAACTTTCAGAACATATATAACCGACAATCAAACAAAGCACATACAAGAATGCACTATGAGAAAAGCAGAAAGAGATGCACAATAGCATCTAAATATCTTGCCTGAGCAGCAATGGCTTGTGAAACAACATATTCAGTCTCTGTCTGAAATTGTCTCCACAAAGACTTGCACTGGACAGGAGTAATCAAAGTTTTTGATGGAGGGACCTGCATTATAAATTGACCACAAGATGAAAATATTTATGGGCTGAACTACACCATGCAAAGATTACTTCATCATACAAAAAGGGAAAGAATCTTGTCTACCCCTTTTTGTTGAACACATTTTTTTGCTTACAAATAGCTTCCAAGACAAACCACATAAGTAAGCCAATTACCTCATTCCAAGTGCTAGAGGCCAGAGGATCAACTGATGTAATGCTCCTTGCGGAGGAAGCACCTGCTTTTCCATCCACAAGAGCAAGGGAAAGTGTTTTGTCTATATTATCGCCCTCATCGTCCAAGCGAACTGCGGCCATAACTGACAGTAGCTTCAGAGACTGAGAGAAAATTGAAAGAAGTCAGCACAAACTTAAAGGTAATAATTGAAACGTGAAACCATACACCAAGAAAAGGAAAGTTTATTTCAGTCAATCATACAGCTGATCGCGCAGTTTTAGTAATTGCTCGAATGTCTTCCTTGCCAGTCCAAATCCGTGGCATTGAATCCTGATCATGGCTGAATAATGTCGAAAACCTGACAATAATTTTCAGCTCAGCATAGTACTTTGTATTATAAATAATTTATGTCAGAGCAGTAGAACAAGATCAACTCATGTCCACACCTGTCCTTCATGCGAATCAAGACCCTTCCAGCTTCTTCCTTTGTCTTTGCTTCAACTACTCCACGTGCATAATCTTTTAATCGCAAAACCATATTCTCCCTACTTTCTACATCCATTTCAAAACCAGAAAGTGCAGCAGCAAAACCCGAGACTGCCGTGTCAGTTTCACGCTGAAGCAGTTTTCTTATTGCTGGCCATGTATCATCACTAGCTCCATCTAAAAGAGCCTCAACAGGTCCAGCTAATGCCTCATTCAGTTTCGTCTAGACAAAAATATTTCATCAGTTCCGGCATATCTATATCTAAAAAAAGAATCTCAAATGGTCAATGCGGTTTGTCAAAGAAAAATGTTGCACCAGCCATTCAGCTATCAGATGCAAACAAGTGATGGCATGTTCTCTTATTGAGAGATGGGGAAAAGATTAAACTTCCCATGTATATCCAATGCCCTCATTTTCACCTCAAAATCCTAGAACAGAACACTACAAAAATTGAGGTAAGTTCCTACAAGTTTTGCCATTAATTTTGTTTAATATAATGGACTTTGGACCTAAATCCTCCTAAAAGTTAAATAAGGAGGAGTTAAATGAGGAGGTGAGGATTGTCCAAGCAAGTTGGATATATGGTGCGTGAATAACATAAGGGTCTAACATTGGATGACACAACGGGAATATGTTTGGGTCTAGGTTTGGGTCTGGTTCTGATATAATGTTAAGAAAATGAGCCTTGAGCCTACTCAACCTCAAAAGTTAGCTCAAGAAGTGAGGATCTCCAAACTATACAAGGAGAAGACAGGCGATAGCCACAACATGAGAATTAATACTAAACTATAGAGGTTGTCAAACTCCATACCTCGTAGAGGGATGTAACTTCAGCCAGCTTGGCGCTACAAACTTCAGCAATATGAGCATCTACATCACGCCTCAGCTTATCCCTCACTCTAGATGAGTCCCATTTTGCTTGGTCGATAATAGCATCTACAAAATAATGCATCAGCTGTCAATTTCAAAAAGCAAGCTGCTAACACTAAGCTCAACATTTCACTCCCCACACAAATTACCACCCATTAAAGCTTTCCAATCTTGGGGCATTTCATTAACTACAAGGAAAAGTATTTATTGATTTGTAAAATCTGATTGTGATTATATGTGATCAAATCAAATCAGATATGTTGATTTGTATTATCTGATTATTGATCATATAGGCTCAAATCAGATAAGCTAAGTTCGGAAAGTTTCGTATCCTTAGGGATTAGATTAGATTAGAAATTCCCCTTTGTCTGGAATCGGGGGATTATTCCTTTTCTATTGATTTGTTTTCTCCTATAAATTGTGTATTCTTTGAAACAATTAAACATACTATTCCGATACCAAAACTAATAGTATTTACAGGAAAATTTATTAATAAACGCTAGATTCCAATAAATGCTGAAAGTCAGCAAGTGATATAGCAATCTCTTTGCATAAATCCTTTTCTAGTTTGGTATCTCCAGTCAGAGAAGTTGCTATTTCTCCAAGAGAGGGAAAGAAGAATATGTCAACAGTCATTGCAGTTCAAATTACATGCATCCAAGAAGATATAGAAATGGGTACCATATAGCAACAAAAGAATAAAAGAAGAAAAGAAAAGGCGCGCGCGCGGGGTGGGGGTGGGGGTGGGGGGGTTACCTTCCAACCCTAAGTGAACATTTCAATAAATAATCTTTAGTAAGCAACTACTTCAACTAAAAAAGTTTGTCAGCTCTACAAGTCTATTACTTGAAAGTTGCTATTCCTCAAATCTTTTTTATGACCTGGGGGAAGGGGGTTGCACGCGAAGGATAATATTCCCTCCTCAGAGGAAAAGATATAAATCAAGCGGGGTAAACCAGTAACCGCAGGAGCAGGTTATAGCCTATACCTGTGCATTCTTCATCAAACCGGGAGATAAAAGACTCGGTGCATTCACGAGCAGCCAGAGCAAACCCTTTACCCCCCTTCAATGCCTTATCAAATGCTTCTTTGAATCTTTCAAAAGTGTCCGATCGTATGTGTCCCAGCATAGATTGGTAGGCTGGTTGGACAAGCTACAGCAGAAGGAAGGATAAATCAGGAGACGATCGCAATCAAAAAAATGACCCTCTGCTTTGAGGAAAATAAGTAAAGCATTAGTGTATTTCTAGAGCGAGAGAGAAAAAGCATTTACATCATTAGCTCAAGGAGTACCATTAAATTAGAAATTTAGCATGTGAATATATTTGGTTGACTCAAAGAAGGCCAAAGATATCTCTATAAAACACACAGGAATCCAACAAGTTTGGTTGGTCAATCATCAAAATTAGAAAGCTTAATGCAGGAAATATACCCAAAGGTTGGGTGTATGTAGTAAAACAAGTTTAAGAGAGAGCAAAGCCTAGCCCGGTACCTGCAGCAATTTCTCTTCCAACTGCTTTCGCTTTGAGGATCTAACCCCTTCCTCAAAGAAGGTAGCCTCGGCATCATACCTGAGGAGAAGAAAATCTTATTTTCCATGTGCACCCTGCTTATAATGTATATATTCATACATGAAGACAATCATAATATAACATACCAAGGGAAAAAAATTGTAATTGTAAGAAGAAATGAATTCAGCAAAAAATTACTCTACATTTCAAATCTAGCACGAGATATACAAGACAATGTATAAACTATCCAGGGGTGGAGCTTATGTTATGTTTAGCATCAAATCTAAAGTTTGCTAGGGGTGTTTTTAGACTTAGTAGTGACTTCTATATCAGAACAGAGATAAGAGAGAGATTCAGAGAACTTCTAAGTTCAAAAAACTCCTAATTTCCTTAAAATAAATTATTTAATATTAGAATAAAAAGAGCCTAATCAGAGTGGATGGATACAAAGGATTCACATAGAGGGACCCCAACTAATTTATGACTCAGGCGTAGCTGATCGATTGTTTTGATATAGAAAGCCTAGAAAAAAAAAGAACAAACAAATTCATAAAATTTATCAAAAAAAAATGGGCCAACAGAACGCCAGGCAGGATGTCAGCAGTATAACCCGTTTTTTTAATAACCAAGAAATCTCCGAGGGCAGTGGCGCAAGGTTCGGAAATCAGTGGATAATGGGCCCACCCCTCTACCCTTCTCCACTTAAATACCAGGTTTTTGTCTACGGCAGACGGTGATTTCCTCCAAACCCACATATCACGCGTTGCGCTCTTACCACTACACCACAGACCCCTGGGGCATGGCAGCAGTATTACCAGGCCATCATCATTAGTGTAGGAGAAGAACCGAAAAAAGAACATAGAGAAAGAGAGCTTATGATCCCACAAAGAAGAGTAATAGAGGGGGACGAAGGGAGATTAGAGCTGGGTGTAGGGAGGAAGCAAAAAAAAAAGTAGTTTACCAGAGGGAATTCTCCGATGCTAGAAAGGACGAGAAGATGGACAGGAGGAGAAACACTGAGAGAACAGTTTGCTTCCTTTATTTTATACCCTAGGTTTAAGTAATCATTTTTGTAGGAATATTCAGAGGGATAATTATGCACGCAACCCCAAGAATTTCACTCTACTCGGAGAGTAAATGCAGATACAAAAACATAGTGAGATGGTGGATTATCCATAGCCGGCCACAATATCCACATACCTAATAACCCCTAACAACTATTTATCAAAAGAAAAAAGAAACCTTCACTCTAGCACGACATATAGAAGACAATGTATAAACTAGCCATCCAAATCTCTTTGCTTCCAACAATGATGCTAAACGAACATAAGGTCCACCACAACTTCAAACATAGTTCTGGTGTATCATCAATCTAAACACCATGCTCCACCAGCATTACCTTCTCCAACACCTTAATCTTTAAACTGGTACAATCAGATAATCAAAGAAGGGAGAACCACATGATAAGAATACTAATTTAAGCATTCCTGCAGAGAAACTAGAGACAGTTAAAATTCAGAAAAACCAATCGTCTTTCTTCTGTCCTTAACTTCTTAATGTTATACTCTTCTCGCAGTTTTTCATAATACCATAAGCTTTATAAAATAACATGAAAATGTGGCGATCAGCTATATTCTCCTTTTGTGCTCCTTGCTCTAACCACAAGAACGCTTATATGCATCCTTCTAGAAGGCAAGAAATATCACATTAGGAGCAACCACTACAGATGAGCTTCATGCTTACTAGCATCCAGACATTATTCGTTTATTTCTAGACTAGAAGAACCATTCTATACCGCAAGAAAGTATTGTCCTTACTCTGATAGACAAGTGTCCAAAATTGAGCTGAGCTTCCGTCCAAAGCCCCGTACGGAGTGAGAATGTACTGCCTCTTCTAATTGACACCATTCCTACAACAAGGTCAATTACTTAACAATTAAGTGGTGATCTTTAAAATAGTAGACAAAACAGAACAAGGTATAATTTAAATAATCCTCAAAACAATTCTGTGTACCTCATTTGTGGTGAAAGAAGCATATTTTTCATTGGCAATCTCTTCACAGCGCACAGTAGCTACCATAACCTGCAATTAGATCAAAATCGTGTATGTCAGAAATACATGGATAACTGATACTTCAATAGCAGTAGATCCTCGGGTTATAACCTTATGGGCAGGCAGATCAAGGTCTTTGTTCTCCTTTATAACCTTCCATATCTGTTGTGCACTAAATGAAAAGCCTGAAGCAGGAACAACACCCCGCCTATCTCCAGCAAGCCCACCAGGTGCAATAGAATGAAAGAACCGTTGTCTTAGATTAGCCACCTTAAAAAAGAAACAAGAAGGGACGCAAACAAGTAAACCAGAGTTAATTAAACAAAATAGTAGATCTTCTAATTTGATTATTGGCTACAACCTAGACAAAATAACCAAATAAGATAAGTGGATATGAACTACTAAAGAAGGAACATATAATAATCAACGAATTCTCAAAAAATACAATTTTCATATACCTGCTCGTTGAATTGTTCTTCCTTCTCTTCATAACTAGAAAGAGCCACGACCTCGACCTGGATATCCAGTCAGTTTCACTAAATCCGTGAGCAGACAAATAGACAGCAAGAAAGTAACACCAGATCAAACTTTACTGCCACTCACATTAAAAAACTCACTTAACGGTGTTTCCTTGTGAGCTTGCGGCTTTGGGACAGAATCCCATATCTACAAAGTCCAGAACAGTATGATAAAATCGATAATGTAGAGTTCAGAAGGAGACACATAATAAGAAAATCATGAATATGGTACCTTCTGAATGTCTTCCCTTAGAACAGGTTCCAAATTTTCGAGGGGAGTCTACAAATAAAAGTGAAAAAACGACCAACTTAGTTCTCACAGGACCTGCAGTTTTACAAATGCCAGAATTTCCTTAACCTGTTAAAACATTTATGAGAGAAGAAGGCACCTTACCCTTGTTTTGTCACGAATAACAAACATCAATGTCGTTTTACGCGGACTAAATAACCGCATCATAACCTGTTCAAGATAAAGTAAGTAATAAAACATCCAGAAGGAATATTCAGAAAAAGAAGCTTCTCTGTATTTTACCTGGAAAACAGTCTTCAAAAGAGGCTTATTTGCAGCCTGCTCACGACCAATGTCATGACACCACCTGAATTTTTAAAATTTTGAGCCACCGATGCATAATTCTTTTCTGGTTTTAATTTATCATAAGTCCACGTACTATCTATTTCACAGAATAGAAGAACTTACATGTTGATAAGCACTATATCAGAAACAGCAAGTGCAAATAGAGCGCTCTGCTTTTCAAATGCAGTGTCATCCTAAAAAAAACATAAAGCCTGAATGAGAAAAGATCTGCTCAAATATTAGTTATTCCACCTAACCAAGGATATGCAGGGACCATCTCAAATTTGGTCTGGTCCAAATTAATCACATAATAGCTTATGGTACCCACTTACCAATATCTCAAGCAATGAATCTATACACAAGTTCGGACACACTGCTACTATTAACACAAAGAACATTGGAAGGGCAAGGTAAAAGATCTCAATCGACTGGAATCTACTGAAAAATGTCTAAAATTACTCAATGAGTTTGTCACATGATACTACAAAGAGGAAGCAACAAAGATTTGAAACTAATCTTTATAGAGTGAGATGTAGGATTTATTAACTTCTAATGTAATACAGGACACTGGAAAGAGGGGATGTCAAATAAACAGATGGCCACTTTATTTTTCAACAAGTTTAAGCAAAAAAAAAAAACTGTTCCATAGTGGCACCTGTCATCTGAACCCTTATCAAAGGTGTACACGCTTGGGAAAATGCTATAAGGATAATACGCCACACGATATAAATGATGGACCAACAAAGCTAAAGTAAATCATCTTATATTAAGTATTTTCAACACACCTCTCCTCGTTCTCTACCATCTGTTCCTTCTAAATCCATAACAATGGTGCAAGGTTCAATGCCAACACACCGAGCCATCCAAATACCTTTCGTGGTTTGTGACCTGGAAAATACTTAGTTCCGTCAGCTCATCTGCAGTGAAACAGCAGAATTCTAGCAATTAAATAATACACTAAATACATACCTTCCCTTATAGGCATCCATCTCTCTAAAGTTAGTACGAAAAAGATGATTTAACAGTGTACTCTTCCCTGCATAATCCCCGTTGAATTTTGTCAGTATTGGAAAAACAATATAATAGCATTGATTCCAAAAAGAACACTAAATGATGATTAGTATTCAAGCAGTAAGGAAGCAATAAGGAAACCCCGAAAAAAGAGGAGGGGATAAGACTTGAGGTCTCCAAAGACGTGGATCAGTTCCGCTATTCGTCAAAGACATGAGGCACACGTAGACATGGACATAAAGATATGATTTTGATTTGGAGTTCTGGACCTATAGTTCATCTAGCTTCACCAAGCTAAATTGAAGTCATGATATTCCAAAGTGGTAAATGGATGATAGCTATCGAGTTTTTCAAGAGAGAATTCATACCGCTACTTTGTGGGCCCATAATGGACACTACAGCATATGAAAGACCACATTCTGCCAGTTTAACTTCCTTCATGAAGTTATCAACTCCGGCAACATTGAAGCCACCATCCCCGTCAATGAGATGAGTTGAACAACACCCATCCTTATTATCTGAAAGCATTAGAGTATAAAGAAGTTGACAAAAACCCAACTTATGAACATGAACAGAACTAACAACCTTCAATAAAGTATCATAATACTTCATAAAAAGTTGATGCAGAAAAGCTGAAAGTCGATCAGGATAACAATTTTAACTCCATGGATAGACAGCAATTGAAAAAAAGGAATTTTACTATTCTGTATCAGTTCAAAACAAAATAATTCCTAAAGTAGTTAATCTTCAGCAACCAAACGATTCCAACTGGAGAGCATGCACGAGCTGTAAACCCAATTACATCTACTAAATCACCAAATCAAAAGCAATTCAATTTCAGTCCAACAATTAGACAAACTGCAGTCCACCACAAGTATAAATAATCAAATGCAATCAACAAAGACCAAGCAATCAAGATCAAGATTTAAAAGAAATCAAAGACCCAATAAACAAATAGCCAATTTTTTACCTTACTTATCAAAAAAAAAAAAACAATCTTTCTAAATAAACCCAAGAAAAGGGCTAAACCGTGAAAACCCATTAATAAATAGCATTCGGTTATACAAATGGATCATCAAATTTTGGGGGGGGGGGGGGGGGTTGGGGGGGGGTTTTATAGTAGTATAAAATGGATCGGAAGATGACAAAAGTAGAGAAGCATACCCATCTGAGAAGTAGAGAGAGCTGGTTCGATCAAATTGAGAAGAGAAGATCGCTAAGAGTTGAAACTTGAATAAGGGGAAGGAGAGTAGAGAGAGTGCGATCGATCTCAGATGGGAGCAACGCCCCCCTCTTTGTTGTTGTCTTAAAAAGAGCGCTGGACTATCCGATGAACAGAGGGAAAAGTAGGCAAATCCAAAACAAAAAGAACAATACAATTGTAGTAGTAAAATTTTACAGAGTTTAGGAAAATGGTTGCTTATGACATCTTTCTTTTTTTCTTTTTCTTTTTCTTTTATGATAAGGAGTTCTTCTTCCTTTTTTTTCTTTTTTCCCCTTTTCGTCCTCTTAACAAAAAGTCAATTTTTTATTGGTTAAAATCTCAAATAGACTATTTTCCGTTTTTCATTCTTCTTTTTTTATTTTTATTTTTGATAAAATAAATAGAAGAAGGAATTCAGGCATTAAGTAGGCATTTGGACATAATAATTGTAAAATTTCGAAAAAGAGTAAATATATTTGCATATAAATACAAATTGGAGTTGTTTTTGAATTTTTGTGAATGATTTGGAATGAAAATTTTGAAAAATAATTTTTTTGACTTTTTCAAATTACAAAAAATTCGAAATTCAACTTCAGATTGGATTTGAAATTTTTATGGATAAACACTTATTCCGAATAAAGTAAATAAAAATTTCCGGAAAAAGTGAATATATTGAAAATACTAAAATTTATACAAACATTTATTTACTAATTTTCCTCATAGTTGCCTTTTGGATCAATGATGAAAGTGCAAAGAGGATAACAGCATATATAAACTTAAATGTGGTGGAATATAATTAGTTATTTCAAATGTAAGTAATAATTTGGAAAATAATACTCCACGTAGCTATATTATACAACAAATGCCTTCATAAATCAGTACAAAAAAATTATTTATTAATTACTACGTAACTTTTTATTCCTCGTGAAACTTAAGATGCTACTGCAGCTAACAGTCCAATGTTTTTAAATTAAAAAATGGAGCATGCTTAAAACGTACAGTGCAAATGTGCAATATTGATTTGATTTTCATGTCAACCATGGGAAATGAGATTAATTTGTTCAGTTGAAGAATCATGATTCCATGAGTAGGTAAAAAGTAAAAGCTTTTACTGCAGGCTCAGACTAATTACCACACCGCCTCACTGTTTAACACTTTAACTTCCCTTTTCAATTTTATCGAATATCGCCCAAGGGACTTTACGGCTTAATTCGAATACTTGAAAAAATATATAAATAAAAAGTAATCATATAGTATAATAAGTTTAAAATAAAAAGACAAAAAAGGAAAATAGTATAGTAGTAGTGATGAACGTCTAATAAGATGACCGGGTAAGCACCGACATGAGGCCCACAAACCGCCCATCTAAGCTTTTTAGAAAAAGAGCGATGCCCATCGGACGGCGCGTGTGGGCGCACGCCAATTAATGATTCGGGAAATGCTGTCACACTTTTGAATAGAAAAAGTTTAACAAAAATGATATCCTATGTTTTTTCCTAATCATTTTTCGGTTATGATGGGTTGCATCACGGATCGGCTCAGCTCTGTTTCATTTGCTCCGGCGACGGACGTACTGACGAGCCACATCCAAAGGGAGGTGCCGTAGTGCATGTTATTTGTAAATAATATGTATTGATTGACGAGATGCGAGGCGGTGTGAACGCACAATTAGAGCTATAGAAGTAGACCATGGTATCTAAAGGTTTCAAGTGAGTAGGACCAAGACAGAATACTTGGAGTGTAAGTTCAGTGGCGAGACTCAAGGAGGGGAAGGGGAGGTAAGTCTGGACTCGCAGGTCATTCCTAAGAAAGGGAGTTTTAAGTACCTTAGGTCTATTATTCAGGGGGGGGTGGGGAGATTGATGAAGATGTCACACATCGTATTAGGACGGTATAGATGTATGGGTCAGAATCCGACCCCACGATAATTAACGAAGGTAATCCCGTCTTAAGCTAATTCATGATTGATTAGTGGTATGACCACTCAGAATTAACGATATCCAACCCTTATCTGATTCGATCAACAAGGCCACGGCCCGTCCGTCATCATGAAGGCGAAACCCCAACGTGGTCACGGCCACTTATTGCCAGCTCACGAAGCTCACAGCGATAAATACCAAGAGAGGAACCCCTTCATAAAGGGGGGCTTCTTCCTGACTATTGAGGGGAGAAAGAGAGATATAACGAGAAACATATTATGGGAAAGAAAAACATCATTGTAAGGCGTTGAACCCCTTCATGGAGGGGCAGACCAAATCAACATGATCAATAAAGGCTTTTAATGTTTCTCCTCTTAACTCTAAGTATTTATTTTCGTTTCCTTCCTTTGGTCCAATGGATTATTACAGTTTGCTATGATTTTCCCGTGATTTATTTATATTGTTTTATACTCATAAGGTATGTGATAACTTTTGAGCAAACAATTTGGCGCCGTCTGTGGGGATTTCCTAGCAAAATCGCGTAGTTCTTCCCCGGACCAAAAGGAAAGAACTGCCAAACTCGTGGAGGAACTCGAAGATCTCAAATCAAGATCCAAGCCCTCTCTCTCTCTCTCCGATCTCAGATAGTGCTAACAAAAAGAATAACGCCCNCTAGTATCATTGATGTTGAGGATGCTGAAAGTCCTGAAGTTCATGTGTGTGAGCGCATTGGTCCTCACTCCAAACATTTTTCTACATTATGCTTGGATGACGATATGAAAATACAGTCATCCGAGCCGATTGAGAAGTCAAGGAATGAAGAACAAGGTGCCTATATTCTGGAATTTTTCTTACCAGAAAGACAGGACTACATACCTCATCTAAAAGCCAAGAAGTGTAGAATAGTACAATGGTTGCTTGGACCAATTAGATTTGTTCCTCCACCCCTGGAGCATAGCCGAAAACTTGATGCCAAATTATGGGTTCAATTCATAAGCTCGAGGTGGAGGCAAAAAGTCATTCGCGTCGTGCCGCGACGTTAAATCAAGCGCTTGTTGGGAGGTAACCCAGCTTTATTGCTTTCTTTTATTTTTTTTTTATTTTTTTAATTGTATTATTTTTGTAGTGTCAATTTTTTTATTTTCTAGGAGCATGGAAAGCAAAGGTATTGGAAGGATGCATCAGCAAACCAAATGGTTGGAACTAAGTGTGAGGTACCCACACGAAGGACCAAGCTTGGGAGAAGTCTGAGTACCCCATGAACTGCTAGTGCTTCGGCCTTTGGCCTACCAGGGAGTTTCTTTTACCCTCTTGTATGTATGGGTGTGCATTGGGGACAATGCACAATTTTAAGTGTGGGGTCCGGAGATTGTTTGGGTGATTTTTCATGCTACTTTAGCTGTGTTTTTTTTTTTTAAAAAAGATTGGACTTTTCCTGATGACGGATCTTCTAGACAGTTTTCTTGAGGGAAGTAAGTCTAAAGAAAATACCAAAAAAATTTTTTGTTTTGTTAGGTAGTGTAGCAATTACCCCTTGGTTTTTTTTAAACCACGGTTCTTTTCCAAGGGTTTTATTTGAACCGGGTGTAGTTAGTTTTTTTGGGGAATAGGAGCCATTGTGTTTTGTTTTGAAATGAAGCAATATCTCTTGACTTTGTTATGCCTTGAGAATAGTGAGTACTTTGGCTGTGACGCTTAGGCTCAGTTTTTGACTCTTGTATAAGTACCTTAAATTGTATGATCTTAAATTTGCTTAACTGCTCTGACTAGGGTGTTTTGATGAATCCAATCCTAAGTGAGTTATGTGCCATGTGTGTGTAAGGTTTTGTGATATTCTGTGCAGTGCATTTGATGCCTAGAACTTTCCCCGTGTGTTTGCAAAGCGAAATAGTAGTGTTGTTCAGTCTTGGAAGTGATATAGGCGTTTTCTTGTTGAGCCAGATATGTATATTTTACCCGCCTAATTATTATGTATCGTAGTTAACCCCTTCGAGCCTGTAATCCTGTTTCTTTGGCAACCACATTACAAGCCTTACCCATTTGTTCGAATTAACCATCTATTTGAACCATTGAAACCACTCATGAGCACTTGAATTGTTTATGAACTTTATAAAAGTTAAAGTGTGGGGTGGTTGGTTTGGCTTTTGAGTGGAACTAATTGAATAATGAGAAAGGTGCACTGTTTTGAAAAAGGAAGAGCCACTTGAATTGAAAAAAAAAATATAGTTGGATTGTTGTAAAAAAAAAATTCCTTGATAAGTGGTGGTTCTTGACGTAAGTGTGCTTAAAGAAGAATGGGGTAATTTACATTGATGTGAAGGTGGAGTTTTGGTTTGACATAAGTATGGGGTTTAAATGTTAAAATGTATGTATTAAAGTATTTATGGAGGTGTAGTCACTCTTATATCTAAATGTATCCTACTCGTCCCGTAGCCTACATTACAACCAAATAAAGTCCTAACTGATCCAAGATTGAATGAGCTCGATTAGTGTAGTAGTACACTACGGCAAGCTTATGGTGCATCTTTTGTGGCATATGAATGTTATTTCTGAGAGTGAGTGAATTCTTTCTATCTTGAGTTCCTAAGTGTTCTTAAATTTTATTGTGTGGAACTACTCTCTTTTGTTGCGTGAGGGCACTTGATTCATGAAGGAAAGGTAATGTCAGTCACCTCTATATTTGAGTAAGTGGGTGAGTTGTGAATAACGTGTGGTACTTGTGAGTCAAATCTTTAGGTGAAGATGTTACGCTTTTGTGCTTAGTCTATTTTAAATACTCTTGGTGTGATGAGTTAGGAGAATTGTTTAAAAAGGTCGTGTCTATAAAAAAAGTGTAGTTTGAATGCTCGAGGACGAGCAATGGTTTAAGTGTGGGGTGTTGATGATAGGCTATAATTGCATATTTTAGTCGCTTATTACACTCGAATTTACTGCACTTTAATTGAGTTTGCGCTTTAATCGCTAGTGTTTTGCACTAATTGTGTATTTTATGCCTTGTAGGCGTGATTCCGAGCTATATAGATGTTATGGAATGAATTTAAGTGATTTGAAGCTTTGAAGTCTGAGTAAAAGCTCAAGGAATTAAGCTGGGATCGTGTTCGGGGGTCAAATTTGATAATTAAGTACGAACGAAGACTTGAGGAGGCATATTGCGTACTGTCTAGTAAAATAGACATAACTTTTTGCTCAGAACTCCATTTGGGCTCCACAATATATGGTTGGAAAGCTAACTCAAAGGGCTACAACTTTCATGTTTTACGTTTTTCCAAATTCCAAAC